GTGGTACCCTGTGCTAGTTTGGCGCAGTTAAGAATGGATGGGGACAACCTGTCGAGCTTGCGTTTGGCAGCAATAGTTGATTTAGAAGGTGAGCATAGCACATTTCACAGCAATAGAGACAGTCGACTTAGCTTTGGATGTTCTCCTGATAACACCAGTCGGAGTAGAAGTAAAAGCTAAAGAGAGCACTGCAGAAAAAGAAGAAGATGAAGGCAGCAATTGAGCAGAGACAACAGTAGAACTGGAAGGAGTAGATCCAGGAGGCAATCCATGCATAAACCTGGATTCGACAATCTTGCTAGAAGAAACAGATAGTTCAAGGGCATCGAACACTGCCATAACGAATGGTTGAGGATTAGTAAGTAAATCACTTATTGGAAAGTTTCATATCACCAGCTCTGTGTTCATGGCCTGTTGCTTGATAAGGTGCTGAAGACTAATAACCGCACCATGGTCAGCCCGCGTTCCCCCCCACGTGGAGATGGACGTGTTTAATTCATTTATAGCTTTCATAATATTCTGCGAAGTGAATTTAGCGGGTCTTCTTGATGATGGCAACTTCGACAAAAACACTTTTCAGAGCTCATCTGACTCTTTGGTCTCTTAGCTGAGCTCGATGACACATTGTCGGTAACACTGGGCTTGGCTTTGCCTTCGGGGCCTGATGTGAAGATAGTAGTTTCGGTAAATGTCCACTACCCTGGTAAAACAAACTGATAAAAACATCTATTTTCCGAAAGATTCTAATACACAATTTATAAGAATGAATAAGAACGTATTGGGCCTATAAGAAGACCAAAAATGATCTTATTACTATTCAACAAGAATTAATCAGAATTTATGAGAATTAAAAACCTCTTGATCAATTTTATAAGTATATGTAAGAATGGATAAGAACAATTTGATAAGTTTCAATAAGAAATTATAAATGAATCATATTTTTTAATTTTTGAATAAGTTTTATAAGAATGTACCAATCAAATATTACAAGATTCTAAAAAAAAGTTAGCGTTTTAATAGCCAAAAAAAGAGTTCTATAGGATATGAGAGTAGAGATTTGAACAAAAAATCGATCAATTCAATAAGATAATCCGACTTAAAACATTTATCTTTATTTCTAAATGTGGCAAAAAAACTCAGCATTATTTAATCGGTTGAACTCCTCCAACATCCAATAGTAATAACCCTTTCTTTTGTTCTGAGTATTGTATCAACTGAAAAGCAAAATCCTAATAGAGAAAATCATGATGAGAAAATATTCTTATAAAAAACCATCCTAGAATTTCTTATAGAATAAGTTGATATGTTAATGAAGATTATTCACCAATAACTTATTTAATCTGATGACATTCATTTTAATAGAATCATATAGAACCAAACAGAAGATCAAACGGCGTCACTTACTTAAAAATTCTCATAGGATCTTATGACAAACGGTCTGGTTGTTTCTTATAAAAATAGTTAATATGTTAATAAAAATTATTCTATTTTTCTTTGAAATACATGCTAGGGAGCAAACTTGATAAATGTTTGAATTATTTTTTATTTAAAACTTAAATAGATTAAGTGGAAATCATGTTTTCGTATTTTAGAATAACGCAGTTGGCAGCGTACTGGACTGTGGGCCGAGGATGCGAGGATCGAATCTCATCTGCAGGATATTTTCGGACTAAAATACTAATTAATTTCATTTCAGGTGTATATTTAAACAACGAATTCGTATAAACGAAAAACTTTTAGAGCAAATCAAAATTTCCGTTGTTTAACCTATTCTTTTTGAGGTAAGACGATATATTCTGATAAAAAACGATACAAAACGCGCTCACAGATTCTTATACAAAGCGATCGGAATATTTTCAATGATTTTTTATAAATTCTGATAGAAACGATACAAAACGTGCTTATAAATTTTTATACAAAGCCATCAGATTATTCTTAATGAATTCTTATAAATTCTGATAAAAAACAATACAAAAGTTTTTTAAAGATTTTTATCATCTTATATAAACAAATCGGAGAATTGCATCAGAAATTTCACTTACTTTATAAGAATTCATGAGAAAATGTTTTATATATACTTATAAAAAGTATGATATTTCTGATGCTATTTTCCGATTAATTCTTACAAAGTTTTTTTTTATAAGATTTGAAATGTTTAACCAGGGTATCACTGCCAGCGCCACGAAAAAGTGCAATATGTAGAATGATGTAAGAGACAGAAGATAATCTCAACGATGTCCAAAATAACAGGTCCCAAACATAAACTGTGAAATGTGCAGCCACCAAACAATCCCGTGCAAAAATTATTATGCAGTATTATAAACCGCAAAAAATAGCATGCGTAATCTGCAACTAAAAAGCCCGATGGTCAAAGAAACAGCATGAAACGATGATTGTAGCGATCTTGTGCTTAGCCTGTCAATGCTCGCAATGGGCAATCGATTAACATCGGGTGCCGTCGGGTGAATTAAGCTATCCCTCAAAACTGATAACCAAATGAGGAAACGTGCAGTGGTCCCACTGCCCTAAATTATTCATTAGTAGGGATACACTGAGATCGAGCAGCAATCAAAGTAAGGGTATCTTATCGTAATCAAGTCACCCAAGTCGGTGAATCACTTTACAAGAAGAATAGTTCAGCTTGTGGAATAAGTGTATCCTCACGGAATCTTGAGCCAGAGCAAGACAGATGTCTGGAGGAGCCAGAAAGACCGGCAGAAGCTACCGACGTCCATTTAGTGAATTCGACGAGGCGGATACGACGCAACAAGCATGAGCCTGCTCTACATCTTATTATTCCTTGCATGGATTTCTTGTCATTTCAACTATTTTCTTATCATCCAGTAATTGTACAATTAACTGTACATTTAACTTCGTTCTCAAGTAACTAACACCTTAAAACTCAATTAAAGTCTCGAAGGTTCACGAAGTCGTTGCTGGCTAAGGTTACGCGTTGTTGTCGTGTGTATGACAGACTCAATATTTGTAAACAACGTCTAAACGACCAACATAAATACTCCCTGAAATTTTTACGTTAAAGTATCTTTTAATCACAACGCTTAATTTAATAATTACTGTTCAATTCTAATAAGTCAATTAATCTTGTAATTGTATGTGGTGTGGCGTTGGAGCGTTCCGCGTCTGATTCACTAGTAAGTCTGTAATAGAGTCGCGACAGCTAGTCTGGTGGACTCATTGTCTCAAGCAAAAAAGCATAAAAGAAATAGAGCAAAAAGAAGAAGCGTGCAAGGTACTCACAGAAAGAGCGAGAAGAACAGACAGCCTCCAGAAATTTATATAGTAGAGTAGATAAGTAATTTTACTGGAATCAGCAAATCAAGTGTTTGCCATATAATTCATCGGACTTCCAGGGTTTTTGCGAGTTAACGTATGTATTACATAAGATTTCCATTAATTTCTGCAGCCATATGGCAGACCCCAAAAAAAAATTTTATAGAGCTAGATTTATACGCATTATTGGAGCTATCGATTGTATGCATGTTAGAGTTAAATCATACAGTAAGATATTTTTTTATGTTCTTCCTACTTATTATTAAAAGTCTTTGAATAAATTATCTAAAAAGTATAAATCATAATTTGTTACACAAGATGGTGTTACAATGTATTTATGATAATTACTGACAGAAAAGAAAGAGCACGTAGAGTGTGCACATGATGTGCTAGTAAATGTAAACAAATTGTCAGAGACGATATTATAGCACAGTGTTTAGAGCGCCAGACTTCCATTTTACTTCCGTTTTGTTCAAAACCAATTTCTATTTATTTATTACTATTATTATTTATACTTGTAAATTATAAGCTGCAGGCTTGAGCACGAAAGTTGGGAATTGGTTACAATGATATACTTACACGCTCCTATACATCTACATTCACTACCAATCTAAGCTGAAAATATAGTTTTTAAAATGGTGAACTTTACGGTTAGTCAAGTTGCATCGTACTCAGTGTAATTTTGATTTCTTATACCTATCCAAAATAGAATTAAGATTTAATTACCAGTCAGTAAAGTGTGTGACAACGTGGGTTACACTTATTCAAAATAAAATATTACCCGAACCACTGGTCCTTCGAGAAATACGGCTATTGTGTATGACAAAAGTCCAGGTAACGCGTCCGTAGAACTTTGAGTCGGATAATTCCGAACTAGTGACACCAGACAAATTCAGAAAACGTATTCAACAGCCTAGAGCAATCATTAAGTGACTTGGGAGCTGCAACAAAGCTCAATTATTGATAATCATCTATACAGCATCACGAGCTGAAACAACGCTTAATAAATAACCATTCAAATTCGAGTTAATCGATATCGACTAAAAATAACTGTCCTAACCTAGTCAATCAGGTGTCGATAAAAACGGAATTTAGTAAAATTACCGGCGGACATCAAACATTGACAAGATAACTTCACAATCTCAGGAATTGTCAACACAATAACAATTCTTAAATAAAACAAGTAAACGCATGCCTTCTAATAGAAACTTTAAAAGTTCAACATCTCAAATAACGAGATTCAAAAACGCGTTTTTAGAGTCAAATACGCAAACTGATTCCTACGAATTTAAAATCAGGTTGAAAAAAATAGAATTATTATGGAGTGAAATGATGAAGACACAAGAAGAAATCGAATTATTAGACAAGTCAGAAAATTTAAGTGCTCGTGAAAAGATTGAAAGAATATACACAAAAGATCTTTATTATGAAGTTATAGCCGAAGGAAAATCTTTCCTTCAACCAGGATTAGTATAAACAGTAATATAAATCAATTTTTAAAGGTGAAGCTGAGAAACGAATCACGTCAATTGTTGAATGAGACAGAGAATCATCTGAACGCACTCGACACATTATGTTCTCGCGAAGAACTTTTAGAAAAATTCATCAATCACATACTATCAATAAAATTAGACTATAATTCTAAACTACAATGGGAATCAGCAGCAGAGAATAGAACAATAGAACAATAGAACAAGCTTCTAGAAAAAATGAACAGTTCCAGTATAGCAAATAATAAAGAATTAAAAGATACAGGTAACAAAACATCTTCAAGCTCTTCAACAAACAAAAAGAAACTAGTGAAAGAAAGCAACACAGCAAATTGTGTAGCAACAACAAAAACAATATGTCCAGTTTGCAAGTTATCACAAAACATTTACAATTGTGAAATGTTTTTGAAAATGCCTATTTCACAAAGAAGTGAAGAGGTTAAAAAATTTGGATTATGATTGAATTGTTTACGGCAAAATCATTTGATGAGAAATTGCAAGTTAAGTGGATGCAAAATATGCCAAAACAAACATAATACTTTATTAAGTCAATCGGAACCAACTAAAACGGATGAGACATTAAGTACACAAGAATCTAGCTCTGCTTCAGCAACAACAGTAGTACACTCGATTCATCAAACACACACTAACATTTTATTATCAACAGCAGTTGTAGAAATCCTAGATCACAACAAATAACCCCATCAATGTAGAGCCTTGTTAGATTCTGGATCTCAATCTCAATTTATAACGCAACGAATTTGCAGTCAATTACAAATATCACTTAGCAATGCGAATATTCCAGTATTAAAAGTAGCTGGATCAACAACTCATGTAAAAAATAAAGCATCAGTCACAATCAGATCGAGATACAACTCTTACAGTACAAATTTGAGCCGTCTAGTTATTACTAAACTTACAGATGTATTACCAACAGCTCCAATTAATACAGCAATTGACATTCCAAATAACATTGATTTAACAGATCCATTATTTTATCAACTAACGAAAATTGATTTACTATTAGGGGCAGGCATTTTTTGGGATTTGATTCGAGTTGGACAAATAAAACTAAAAGAACACCCAGCAGTTTTACACAGAACAGTACTTGGTTGGATTGTTAGCGGCCAAATAAACACAAGGGGAAAGTCTAACAATCAAGAAAATACATATTCATGCAATTTCAGTTCAGTATTAGAAGAACAAGTAGCATCATTTTGGTAGAAGAAAGATCGTTCGACGACACCCAAAAAACTTTCGAAAGAAGAACGGTAAGCAGAAGTTTTTTTTTTTCAACAATCACAAGAAATGAAGAAGGAAGATTTATAGTTACAATTCTTTTAAACAAGATTTGAAACAGCTAGGAAGTGCCTACATGAAGACCAAACAAAGGTTATATGCAATGGAACGAAAGTTTATACGAGATCCGGAATTTGCCAAAGAGTATTATGCGTTCATGAATAAATATTTAAATCTAGGTCATATGACAATAGTAGATACAAAGCATATAGATAATTCACAGGTAATAGCACATTATCTTCCACATCACGTCGTCAAAAAGAAAGGCAGTCTCAAAGCTTTACGAGTTGTATTCGATGGTTCAGTTAAAATCGATACAGGCAAATCAATGAATAACTTGCAAATTGTAGGTCCAACTATTCAAGATGAATTAGTTTCTATAATATTAAGATTCCGACAGTATAAATATGTAATGCAACATTATCAGCACCCTTTCCAGCAATTAGATGTCTAAAAAAAGTAGCAAAAAATAATAGGGCAATGTTTGGAAAAACATGCAAAATTATTGAACGAGATTTTTATGTAGACGACTTGTTAGCAGGAAATGACAACTAAGAAGAACTCAAAATAACTAAAAGAGAAATAATACAACTGCTTTCAAATTATGGATTTCCCCTTCGAAAATAGAACTCGAACAGCTTATCACTCATAGATCAAGATATACCGACGTAAACAGAAAATATCAGTAATGGAATCAAGGCTCTTGGCATATATTGGCATCCAAAGGAAGACATACTTCGATACAACCTAAAAATAGACACGAGTAAAAAGTTCACCAAGTAAGAAATATTATCAATCATAGCACAAATCTTTGATCCATTAGGTCTTCTTGGTCCAATCATTATCATAGGCAAAATCATTTTTCAGCTTTTATGGAAGCATTAATTATCTTGGGATGGAACAGTTCCACCAGAAGTTTATACGAAGTGGATTCAATATCGTAAATCAATTCAGAGCATTCCATCAATTCAAATACCAAAAAGAGTTATACATCAAGACACAGTGCAACATGAACTTCGCGAATTCAGTGACGCGTCAGAACAAGCATTCGGAGCTTGTGTGTATATAAGATCCATGGATAAGTTTGGACAGTATCATATCAACTTATTGTGCGCCAAGTCCAAGGTAACACCTTTAAAAACACAAACCATTCCTCGACTAGAACTGTGTGGAGCCTTGTTGCTGACACGCTTGACACACAAAGTAATAGCATCATTAACAATTAATATAAGTAAGGTATACAAGCAATTTGGAAGCATGTTTCTGGTGGAGATAATCCTGCAGACATCATTTCGAGAGAAATAGACTGTGATGAGTTAAAAAGTTTACATCTCTGGTGGCATGGACCGTCATTTTTGCAATCGCCAGAGAATCAGTGGCCAATAATAAAAAAAAATAAAAATGTTACATTCGAGCAAAAGCCTGTAAGAACAGTTTTATTCACCAACTCAATCAAAATACCAATATTTGGTCGTTTTTCGTCTATAATCAAACTACGCAGAGTATTGGCATGGTGTTTTAGGTTCATAAACAATTGGGAATTGATCAGGACTGGTGGTCGATTAACAAATTCTAATATTCCCTTCGACGAAAAACATCAATTAACACTTCCAGCACATCATAAATTAACAGAACTGATTATGGATCATGAACATGTCAACATGCAGGAAAACAGGCGTTATTGACGTCAATTAGAAAGAAATACTGGCCATTATTTGGTATCATAATAGCGAGACTGTAAGAAGTTGCATCAAGTGCTGTCGAGCCAAACCTAAAAAAAAAGAGCAAGTAATGGGAAATTTAAAAGAGTCACGTAGTACACCATCACGTCAATTTACGCATTGTGGTGTAGACTTTGCTAGACCTTTTCTTGTTAAAGACGTCACACTCAGAAATCGAAAAATAGTCAAAACATATATGTGCCTATTTGTTTGTTTTTCAACCGAAGCGATACATCTCAAACTAGCTTTCGATTTAAGCACTGATGGCTTTCTAATGTGCTTACGAAGACTTTTTGCACGAAGAGAAAAATGCAGTTGCATTTATTCTGATAACGGCATCAATTTTGTTGGAGAAAAAAACGAACTCTACCGATTGACAGAAATGTTAACCACCGACAATCAAAACAATAAGGTGCAAAACTTTCTGACCAATCACGAAATAGAATGGAAATTTATTCCACCTCGTGCTCCACATTTTGGTGGGATATGGGGAAATGGAGTCAAAGCAGCCAAAACTCACCTCACTAGAGTTCTTCATGATACTCATTTGACATATGAACAGCTATACACAATAATGGTCGAGGTAGAAGCCTGTCTTAATTCGAGATCTTTAACTCCAATTTCATCGGATCCAAATGATGAATCACCTTCAACTCCAGGGCATTTTTTAATTGGCACTTCATTGACTGTAATGCCGCAATGAGATGTGCGAGATGTACGAGAAAATCGTCTAAATAAATATCACCGTACTCAGCAATTACTCCAAAATTTTTGGAGTTGTTGGCAGTCAGAATATTTACAAAGTTTACAACAACGCAACAAATGGAAGTTTGACCAACCCGATTTAGTTCATATGAGTTCATGAGTTGTCATCAAGGAAGATAATTTATCACCTCTAAAATGGCAGTTAGGTCTTATCATTACCCTGCATCCTAAAAAGGACGGAGTTGCTAGGGTAGCAACTGTTAAAACAGCGGGAGAAGAAATTAAAAGACCGATAACTAGATTATGTTTACTACCAAACGACGATGATTAAGAAAAACAATATATTGATCATATATCACATTTTTATATTAATATTTCTTACTCAAATTTAATGCTTGTTACGTTCAAAGTTTGTATTTATGATATCTTTTGTTTCTTTCATCTTAATTCACAAATGTATTTAATTTTGAACTTTGTCACTTTAAGGGGGCAGAAATGGTCATAATAATATATATACATGCTCCTATACATGTATGTTCAGTACCAATCTAAACTGATAATATTGTAAAATAAGACCAAATAACAACTTCGGAAAATTGATAAATAAAGGAAAAAGTTTATTAAAGAATGACAGCAATTAATTAGAAAGAAAGAATCCGTGCGGTTAACTCAAGTCTCAGTCAAAAACTGGAGATAAACAAAATCTCCCCTCGTTGCTATAAATAATCTAATCGTCAAGCAAACGTCGTTAACTAATAAACTGTCGTTAGTCTAATAGTCATTAGATGGCGACATAGAAATATTTTACACTTCTCCCGATCTTCTAAAAATTGCCACCTGGCAATTCCTATCAGTTGGGTGAAAATATTGAATTAGGCTGAAATAAATAACATGAAAAATCTAAAATTTAATTTCTAATTCGAAATTATGAAAATCAAATTAATAACACTGGTTAACAAACTTTAAGGTTTTGTTAATCCATGAAATGAGTTTATTGAACTTATATGAAATGAGTGCTAAATGCGAAAGAATACCTCTAAACATACATTTTGATGTAAGTTTTAGGTCGAGTTAGCTCGCGTTTTTTGTGGAATCAAATAAAAATCTTTTAACATAAAATAACATTATATTCATAATTCACATATTATAAAATTTAAAAATGAGTCAATATATTGCTTTTCCGTTTATAAATAATATCTACAGCCTCTCTCTTCAACGTCCAGCAGTAATCTGCTAACATAGCAGGACTCCATTTGCCCTGGTATCGCTGTTCCATGCCTGAAATATCTTGGTGAAAACGTTCACCATGTTCGTCGCTAACATCTTCCATATTTTCAGGACAAAAATCCATATGTGAGTCGAGAATATGTATTTTGAGGGATATTTTGCAACCGAGAGCATACAGTGCTTGGATCATATTCTTAACCAGGTTTTCATAGTCTTCAGATTTTTTTTTTACCCAAGAAATTTTGAAAAACTTTTATCATGGATGTCCAGGCCTGTTTTTCCTTGCTATTCTATGTGCTTTCAAAAGTCTTGTCATTCATTAATTCTTTTATTTGAGATCCTATGAAAATTCCTTCTTTTAACTTGGCATCTGTCATTTTCGTAAATTTTTTTTTTAAATATTGAAAAGCTTGACCTTCGCGATTCAGAGCTTTTACGAAGTTTTTTATCAATCCTAATTTTATATGCAGAGGTGGTATAATAATATTTTTTTTTTTGCACTAAAGGTGGATAAAAAATATTTTCAGTTCCTGGTATAAAAGCTTTTCGTAATGGCCACACTTTTTTTATGTAATGGTTTTCCTTGTCGCGACTGTCCCAAAGACACAAGAAACAACAATACTTTGTGTAACTCTGTTGCATGCCTAAAATGATTGCAATCACTTTAGAGTCTGCACATATTTCCCAAGAATATCTTCGATATTTTATCATTTGTAATAGATGTTTAATATTTTCATAGGTTTTTTTTAAAGATACAGCATAACCGACAGGAATAGAAGGATACGTGTTACCGTTGTGCAATAATACAGCTTTTAAACTGGTTTTAGACAAGTCTATGAATAATCTCCAAGCATTTGGTTCATGCTCCATACCGAAAGCTTCGAACAGCGCATCAATATCGTTGCAGTAAACAAGATGATTCTCATCGTCCATACTAGAAAAAGCTACAAGATCATCGTGTCGGTTCCGAAAAACAGTAATTTTTTTTCCCTTTGCCAGGAGATTCCATTGCTGGAGACGCGAACTAAAAAGTTCAGCTTGTGATTTTGATAAACTCAGGTTTCGTACTAGATCATTTAATTCTGGTTAGGTAATTAGATGTGGTTGCAGTACCTGGCTGTGAGGACTAAAATCAGGATCCGTAAGATCGTCTTCTTCAGTGCTAAGCTGGTCAATTCCTTCAGAAGCATCCATTAGTGGCGCCGGAACGGGGTGATTTTCATCATGCGGGCGAGGTCTTTGAGCAGATGGCGTTTCAATGTCACTATGTTTTCTCTTTTTGCGCGTATTAAGACCTTCTGTCTTATTTATGCAAAAATAACAATCTTCAATGTGATCCTTTTGTTCATTCCACAGCATCGGTAGATTCGACGACAGATTCTGGGACTGAAGTTTTCGCTCGTATTTTTTGTAGTGAATTTACCACACACGTAACAAAAATTGTTAGGATTGCTTTCACAGGAACGAGGCATATCAAAAATATAAATTCACAAAGTTTTAGTTCAAACTTTACAATAAAAACTGAAAACAAAATTTGTTTGCTGCACTTAAAACGTTGCTGTATGTTATAGTGCTATTACCACGTCATACACTGATTGTATTTTCACGGTGTTTATTAGCGAACGCCAACGCATTCTTAACGTTCTTTATGATGTATTAAATCTAGTAAAGTAAAGCCGTGCTATAATAACGAACAAGTCGAAACTTGCGAGAGTGCGGCGGACACAATACCAGATTAAACTTGCATAGCTCGATAACTCGAGCTAAGACACTTGTAATATTATACCTGATGTTTAGTATTTACTAAATACTGCCTATTTTTGTATTTTATCATTCATGGGCAAAACCATTGTTAACCACTGTAATCATTCATCCTAGATTCCAATATTGCCGCTTCCCAACTCTGTCTGCTTTAAAATAAATAAAACAAATAATTAGGAGGGAAAAATCCTGCGGCGGGTAAGAACCTCCAAACAGACCAAAATGATCTAAATTAAACTAAAAAAACGTGATTCTATACAGTAAAAAATTTCTTAAAAAAACTAATCGTCCGTTAGTCAAATTAAGAATTAAAATTTCCGTCTTCAATTCCCTCTCCATCCTTCTTTTTCATCAGGAGGAACCACTGGGAAAAACCAAACGATCTCAAAGAGTAGGAAATGCCAAGAACTGGAAGGTCATGGAACTAAACAAAATAAAAGATCCTCACAGAATCAAAGTTCTTTAAAAATTCCATTTTAATCATAAATTCAATGTTCAATTAATAATTAGGTTGAATGGTCACATTTCATGGAGTCAATTCTCCAAATAAATTCCGACTTCGCATCCTTTTAAAATAAAATCTGACTCTCAAATCCATGATTTAATATCATTAAAACATCCAATTCAATTCCACCTTGCGCAAGGAATTTTCAAAAATAAGTTCAATAGCTTCTGCTCACTGTGTAAACTGAATTATTAAAAATTGGGCTTACAGTTACGCATACTATCCGAACAAAAATATTAGGATACCATGGACATCTAGTACCTCAGTTTGCTTCACTTTGGCCAATGAATGGAGAAAAGGATTCCGATACAATGACTCCAACCGTGTATATCCTACAGTAACTCCACGAGAACGCTCCAGGACAGACATTGTAAATTTAAATCAACAATCAAATGATCAATGAGAGCCAAAATTCTCAGACTGGAAGTTACAAAAACCCTGAATTCAACAGAAATTAGGAATCCAGAAAAAGTCAAAATAACTAATCATCTTCATAAGGAATGAGTCTATTCACATAAACAACTTTCAAACGACCATTCGAATTTTTATGAATTCGAAATACAACATCATTAAGTTTGTTTTTGATAATATAAGGACCTTCCCACTCACATTAAAGTTTTGGACACTTTTCTTTAACTCTTCTAGGGAAGAATAACCAAACCAGACCGGCATCAAAAGAAAGAATATTAGATTTCAAATCATACATATACTTAAGTTTTTCAGATTTAATTTGCAACTTATCCCGTACATTATCATGAACAATCTTTAATTGTTCACGAAGATTAAAAACAAAATCAGTTATAGAATTATCCTCAAAAGAATTATCTGAAGGATTAATTCCTCTAAGAAGATCAATAGGCAACCTTAATTCACGACCTAATATCAACAAAGCTGGAGAATACTCAGTAGTTTCATGTTTTAAAGAACGATAAGCCAACAAAAATGAAGAAATCTACTTATCCCAATCTTTTTAATTCTTGATAATAAATTCGGACAAATATTGAAGAATAGTCCTATGCAACCTTTCAACTAAACCATTCGATTGGGGATGAGGAGGTGTGGTTCTTGTCTTCTTAATACCAAAAAGACTCATCACCTCCTTGAAGATTTCAGATTCGAATTCTCGACCCTGATCACAATGAATTCCAATAGGAACACCACATCTACAAAATATTTGAGTCACTAAAGCCTCAGCAATAGTAGAAGCTTGATGATTAGGCAGAGGAATCGCCTCAGGCCATCTAGTGAAATAATCTGTAACAACAAGTAAAAATTTATTTCCAAAGGAGATTTTAGTAAGAGAACCAAAAATATCAATGGTGACCCTTTCAAAAGAAGAACCAACATTATAAATTTGAAGTTGACCACAAGACTTTTTATGGGGACCCTTTTTAGCGAAAGAAACTTTGCATTTTTTACACCAAATCTCAACATCTTGCTTAAGAGTTGCCCAGAAAAATCGTTGACGAATTTTTGAAATCGTTTTATTAATATTGTTCTGACTT